CTTTAGGGACTCGGGGGAAAGGGTGGGGGGTAGAGAGGAATAAAAGACTACACGTTGGGTGTGGGGTACACTGCTTGGGTGATGGGTGCACCAAAATCTCAGAAATCACCACTAAAGAACTTACTCATGTAACCAAGCACCACCTGTTCCCCAAAAACCTATTGAAATAAAAAAAATAAAAATTGTAAAAAATTAAATTAAAAAAATAAAAAACATTTGGGAGAAAAAATAATTCTGCCACTATATTATTGTTTCTAAGACAGGCATCCCCAAACTATGGCCCGCGGGCCACATGCGGCCCCCTGAGGCCATTTATCCGGCCCCCCGCCACACTTCAGGAAGGGGCACCTCTTTCATTGGCGGTCAGTGAGAGGAGCACAGTATGTGGCGGCCCTCCAACGGTCTGAGGGACAGTGAACTGGCCCCCTGTGTAAAAAGTTTTGGGATGCCTGTTCTAAGAGAACCACTATTGTCATTTGCACCAGTATTTTTTTCTTCATATGTGTTTTACAAAGCTGTGATTGCAATGCGCATACACTTTTAAGACCTGCTTTTTTATTGACACACATCAAATACTTATCTGAAGTCCGCTATAATCTTTATAATCATTATTTAAAATAATAGCATAAGGCTGGGTGGGCATGGTGGTACACAACTGTAATCCCAGCACTTTGGGAGGGCAAAGTAGGCTGATCCCTTGAGCCCAGGAGTTCAAGACCAGCCTGGGCAACATGGCAAAACCCCATCTCTACAAAAAAAGCCAGGTGTGGTGGTGTGTGTCTGTAGTCCCAGCTACTCAGGAGTCTGTGTGGGAGGATTGCTTGAGCTTTGGGGGATGGAGGTTGCAGTGAGCCGAGACTGTGTCACTGCACTCCAGCCTGGGTGACAGAGCAAGACCCTGTCTCATAAGTTAATAAATAAATAAAAACCAAAAGCTTCTGCACAGAAGGAAAAAAAAGTAAAATGATAGCCTAATATTCTAGGGAGTAGATTCACCATTCTTCAATGGTAGGCATTCATGCTATGCTAATTTTTTAAATTTTATCAATAACACCAATAAATACCTTCATGAAAATAGTTTGTTTCCCATATTAAAAAAAATTTCAGGTCACATTCCCAGAAGTAAGATTACCAGATCAAAGGGCATTAATACATACTGGCTACCAAAATGCTTTCTTCCAAACCACGCACACTAGGAAACTGAGTACCATCTTTTGCAATTATGTTAAATATAGGCTTAAAAAAGAGGCTTACCTAATTTTTTTAACTTGCATTTCTTTGATTAGTGGTGATGAACATTTTCTCATGTTTTCCAATTGTACTTAAACTCCTTTGTAAATTGTCTATTCATGTTCTTTGTTCATATTTCTTCTTATACATTATATTGTAGAAGTGGGTTAGATAATACAAGCCTATTACACTTTGTCATATTTATGTCACATAGGCTTTTTCAGACTGTGTTTAGATTTTATTTTAAAAGTAGCCAAAAAACCTTTTAAAAGTTATTTTGATTTTAAAATTTTATACAGTCAGATTTGATCTTTTTCTCTGTGATTTTTAAAATTACTTTCTACGCTCAGAAAATTCTTCCCCTTTAGAAGCTTGATAAGTATCCATTCACTCTAGTTTTTTAAACTTGCTTTTTTATATTTAACTCTTCAATCTAGCTGTCATTTATTTTAGTTTATTACAGTAGATGAGAGTATAATGGTAGAAGCTGTCACAATACCATTCATTTACTCAACAGACCTTTCAACTCCCATTCACTTGCAATGCATCCTTTGTAACAAATTCTATATAACTGGTCTCTTTGTTCAGGGTAGGTATACTACAACTTATCTGTCTAATTTTATACCACTGTTTTTATTATTGTAGTTTTGGATGCTTAATAGCTAATAGTATTAGTCCTTCATTACTCTTCTTTTGTAGAATATTCTCTGAAAATCATTATTTTTTAGCTTTCAAATGCAACTATTTGCTGTCTTACTGCTAAGATGCAAATTTCTTGCAGGTAGAATTGGTTTATTTCCTTAGAATAGATTGCCAAGAATATTGCTACTGGGGCAACTAGTATGAATATTTTTTTCCCATTCTTAACACTTCCAAAGTTTTCAAAAGGGATTGTGTCAATTTCATTGTAATCCTTCCACCACTTGGATATTTTGAAATAAAGAATTTTTTTTTCAAACTTGGTAGGGGAAACAATATATCTTGCTTCAATTTCTATATCTCTGCTTATTGGTGATGATAAACATACATTTGACATATAGTAGGTGCTTCATCAATGCTTGTTCAATGAATAAATGGCATGTATGAATCTGTACATATATTTGGGGATGGGAAGTTTAAATAACTATTGTGATTATAATAGGTAAATGCTGGCTAGATGTAAGTTTGTGGCCTAAATGGCTGTAGTCCATCTACAGAGAGGTTCTAGATATGCCAAGAACACCATGGAATTCAGACCTAAATTGGGGCAATCTCTAGAGACCCTCTATAATTTATATTTATTGCAGGACTGTCTGTTTCTATGCAGGATCAGCTGAAAGATGTTTAAAACAGTTAAGGCAATATATGTGGGTATCCCCATGTCTGTGTGCAGCTCAGAAGCAGCCATGATTGGGTCAAGACAGAGTGTGCTTCCTTTGGCAGCAAAACAGTATTAAGAGGCAGAGTACTCCACTGGAAAATGACCCAGGCCTGAGCAGGCTTTCTGATGTAAATTTAAACGCATAATAAAATGGATCTGGTTCATAGGAGTGGGTCTTTTATATGAAGCCACACTATTTTTCTTCTCAACTTGCTAAGCCCAAGAGGACCTAGAAGTCCTTCATTCAGAGAAGCTCGGTTTTCTCCTTTCACCCTGTAGCTGGAAGGGGAGAGGGCCATTTTATTCTCCTAGCAATCATTGTCTTTATTTTGAACTTTAAAAAAAAAAAAAAAAAAAAAGCAGGCTGGGCGCAGTGGCTTTCATTTGTAATGCCAGAACTTTGGGAGGCCAAGGTGGAATGACAGTGTGAGGCCAGGAATTTGAGACCAGCCTGGGCAACACAGCAAGACATCATCTCTACAAAAAAAAAAAAAAAAAAAAAAAATTATCTAAGCATGGTAGCACATGCCTGTAGTCTTAGCTACCTGGAACGCTGAGGTGGGAAGATCCCTTGGGCCCAGGACTTCAAGACTGCAGTGATCTATGATTGCACCACGGCACTCCAGCCTGGGTGACAGAGAGAGACCTTGTCTCTAAAAAACAAAATAAGAAAGAAAGAAAGAGGCTGAGTGTGGTGGCTCATGCCTGTAATGACAGCATCTTGGTAGGCTGAGAAGGGAGGATCCCTTGAGCCCAGGAGTTCAAGATCAGCCTGGGCAACATAGGGAGACCTTGTCTTTATTTCAAAAAAAGAAAAAAAGAAAAAGAAAAGAAAAGAAGAAAGAAAGAAAGAAGAAAGCAAGCAGCCAAGCAAGCAAAAGCTAACAAAAGGCAGCTTGTCTCTGTTTTAAAGACCATGTAAGACTCATTACTAAAACATTGATTTCCTTTGCTCTGTTGCCTAACTAGTAAATTCTAGTAGTAAACCCTTTCAAGGACTTCCTTGGCCCCCAAATCTGTCAATTTGATGGAAAAAAATTTTTATTCCTATCTTAACCTGCATATGCTGAAGTTGTGCTGTATTTTATTCTGAAAAGCGAAGTGTTGTTTTCTCTTGACTCAAGAGCACCTAAGAGTATCAAGGTCATGGTTGGTTGCATGAACAATTGATTTGTGAATGATGCATTGGCAGTTACTACCACAGTGGCTTCATTTCTCTCAGACAGAAGATTGATAAATTCAGAGTTTAAAAAAAATCCTTCCTCAGTGAAGATTAAGTACTACAGAAATATCAAACAAAGTACCAAATGCTGAAGAAGGCCCAAAAATCCTTCTCAGACAGACTACTGCAGTTAGACACGTTAACATAAAACTCCAGAAGGTGGCTGGACATGGTGGGTCACACCTGTGATCCCAGCATTTTGGGAGTAGAGGCAGGTGGATCACTTCAGGTCAGGAGTTCAAGACCAGCCTGGCCAACATGGTGAAACCCCATCTCTACAAAAATACAAAAATTAGTTGGGCATGATGGCAGGTACCTGTAATCCCAGCTACTCAGGAGGCTGAGGTGGTAGAATCACTTGAACCCAGGAGACAAAGGTTGTAGTGAGCTAAGATCAAGCTGCTGCACTCCAGCCTGAACGACAGAGTGAGACCCCATCTCAACAAACAAACAAACAAACAAGCACTCCAAAAGGACTTCTCCAGTAATTCCAAGAAGCACCTAGGAAGAGCCTTTCCACAAGCCTTTTGTCTTTGAGAGACATCTAACTGGGTTGCTACTTTCTTTACAGATGGCAGGATGAGCCCCCTTCTTGATTCTTCAGCCTTTTGTTTTAAACCTATTCTCATCAATTTCCCACCTTTTCAAAAATCTGTTTGCCACTTCTTTTAAGAACTAGCTCTAAAATTCACTTCTGCCAAGACTTCCATGATTACTTTCTTTCTATTGATAAGTCTCTTCAGCTCATACATATATTCCATTGGTACCATAATTAATGTTTTCTAATTATTCTAATTTTGTTAATGTTTCTAGACTGTAAGTCCCTTAAAGACAGGGGAATTTTTAGAAAGCTGAAAAGGAATTTAGAGACTGTCTAGTTGTATCCTTTGTCCTGTTCATGTTACCAATGAAGAAACTGAGGCCTAGGGAGGATAATCCATCCAAGTCAGTTAGCCAAGTTAACAGAAAAACTAGGTGTAGAGCCCAGGTGTCCTGACTTTCAACAGTGTACTTCCCACTATATTAGGTCATCTTTTTTCTGTTTCACTTGCATTTCTTCAGAATGCCTTGTAAACTGCCACATACACCAATGTCTCTCTATAAATGTCAATACAATAAGCATAAGAATTTACATAGCTGAGAAACTGACTAAAGGAAAGTCAGAAAACAGAAAGGTAATTTTCTTACTTCTTTGCATGATGCCACCCTCCAGACCAGTTAATTGCTACTTTGGACATTCCATCAATCAGGCACTGGGCAGCTGTGATCGTAGCTCCTCCTACAGCTGCTGCATAGTCAAATATCCCTTCAGTGGCTGGGCAGTCATAACCTTAAGGCAAAAATCAGAAGAGCTGGTTAAAAGATGAACTGGGAAAAGATGAGGAATAGGTTGAGGTGTGACAACAACATAACCTACTAAAAAGCCACTGTGCTAATATCAGCTCCAACTGATAGAAACAACTCCAATGTTTGGGATATAATTTTTTAAAAGGTTAGAGCTAGAAAGGATAAACCTTCATGATTAATTAGTCATGGGCTACAGATAGAGAAACCAAGCCTGAGAGGTGATATGCTTTGTTAGTGGTCACACAGAGCCAGGCCTGGGATCCAGCTCTCTTGACCCCCAGCTCAGTGTTCCTCTGCTAAACCATGCTGTTTTTCTAGACTATCCTACTAGTCACTTACAGTTTAAAAAAATGCAGCTGTTTAATGAGGGGTGAGGTAGAAAACTTAGCCAGAACATAAATCTGTACTCCATTAAGATACAAGGTCACAGGACAGCTAAATCAGCAAATATATAGCCAGACCAGATCTGAGCGCTGCCAGTAAAGCCTAAGCAACTGAAAGGTTTTCTTTCATCTGACCCATCATTTGGTTTTGCTCAATTCATATGGTTTGCTTTTTTAGTGAGTTATATGTGGTTAAACCCAAAGATTAAGACTGACAGTTAACATATAATTTCTTTTTCTTTTTTTTTTAAATTTTTTGATATGGGTGAGACTCAAAACACATGATTTATTAATTAAAAATATGAAAAACCGAGCTATAGAAAAATTAGGTTGTCCATCTCCCATCAATGCCTATTAATAACTTTACCTAGCCCATATTCTATGGAGTCCGGATGATCATCATCGCCCTCTTGGCTGACCTTCTGGAGATGCTGCAGATAAGCATCAGTGTGGAAGGTGGCCATCTCCTCCATGGAGGCCACTTTGGGCTTAACTACCCTAACAATGACAGAGAGAACAAAGAGGTGAGTGAGTCAGCCCCAGTATATGCCAGAAGCTAGAAACAGAAGCCAGCAGTCTGAGCAGAAAATGCAAGTCTCAACTTCTGTTTCCAACAGGCTGGAGCAACAAACACATTCTGTTCTTCCACTGCACTGTGCAGTCTTCACTACCTCACATCTACGGTAATGACTTTATCAGTAAGGGGCAAGAGGATAGATTTTCCCTTGAGTTTATAGGTAGGTAAACAAAAGTAATTATATTCAAATAATTATATTCAAGTTAATTATATTCAAGTTAAATAATTAGTTATCAGACAGACTTTGTGTGTTACAACTTTCAGGACAAACTAGTAGGCAGGGATATTTTCATTTGAATCAGTTGCTAATTGGGTTATACCATCCTTTCAACTATATCTTTATTTTAATAGGCAGCTATACTATCATTCATTTTGAATTTGGAGGTAGAGAATTGAGTTCCTGTCCTAATTCTGTACTTACTACCTCTATAACCTCAGGTAAGTTGACTGTTCTGTAGTTCAGTTTTTTCATTTGTAAAATGGGGAACTTTATGGGACTTATGTGAAGATAAAAGTATAACACATACAAAAGTGTTTTGTGGATAACTATCATTACTATTAATGTATAAAAAATGGGCAACACAAAATGCAGAAAGTTTCAAGACTTGGTCCCTCCTATCTGCCTCTGAGAGCAAGGAGAGAAGAGGCAAAATGGTTTCAACTGGGCTTCACTCAGAACCTCTCAACCTACTCACAAAAAATGACAATAGAAGTGAGTGAGAGAACAAAGGGAGTTAACCCGAAGCCTTACCACATGTAACCTCTAGCTGCCTATTCCCCATTTCCTCTTCTAGACCCCACAGGTGCCACTACTGTTCTCTATTCCTTGCACTTAAAGGGTGGTCTGTGGACCAGCAGCATCAGCATCCCCTGGGTGCTTGTTAGAAATGCAGAACTTCAGACTTGCCTCAGACCTGAGTCAGAATTTGTATTTTAACATCATGATTTTTAAACATGATGACACATTTTATGGAGATTCATATACACATTCAAGTTGAAAGAACCCTGACCTAGGCCACAGGGAGGCAGCAGTGGTTTTAAATGTCTGCTGAATGGGAACACAGCCATGAGTTTATGATGAATTAATATGACTATACAGGCTACTTCTATCACCAAGGTAGCTAAAAGAAATCCCATAGTTTGGCCTCAGCAATGAAATATATAGCTAAGATCCAATAATTCTTGCTTCTTAAAGAAGACACATGTATACTATCAGAGGTGAAAAATCTGGCCATTAAAATAAAAATTGTGTATCTTGGACCATATTTCTCAGTCCTAAAAGCTCCCTCTTCTAGTAACCTTCCATTTATTTTGTTAAATGTTAAAACACACACACACATACACACACACACACACACACACACAAAACACTTACTGAAAGCCTCCCTATTTAACAGCAAGGAAATTGGACAGTTGTGTTTTGTTTTGATACCTTGTCATAAAAGAATTTTTTTTGAAATGTTAAATAACTTTAACGGAAGGCATACAGTTACTATGTTAACCAAACCATATGGTTTTTAAAAATGGCTTAAAAATCAAACCCCTTAAAAAGGTACAAAATGATTTTGCTAATAATAATGATAAAATCTGAAAGTCTATTATACTACCTTCTGGGAAATAAATGAAGCATAGCACACTAGCTGGTATGGGCACTCACCTATTTGGCCGGAAAGTAATCCTATATGTGGCAGGGTTATATTTGCTCTAATAATGGCATCAAATACAGGAATGGCAATAAACAGCAAATTCATGTTTTTGAAAGAAACAGTTAGCTCTCTCGAGTTCTGGCTCAGTCTTAGCAGTTTGCTTAGGTCTTGACCTGTCTCCAGCCTCACCCAATAAAGTTTGGTGGTGGTGGTGGGTTGTCTAAAAGTATTTTCTTGAACTCACATTCTCAGATCTGGCTTAGAATGAAACAAAATCAAAAGAAAAATGGAACACCTCCTAGCTGAACACCGTTTTGTATCAGACAGGTTTAGTACCCAAATGTACCTACCTTAAAATCTCCACAATGCACCTACCCCTGGGATACTTAAGCAAGCAACTGAGCTGTATTTCTAATGAACCTTAGCTGCTTCCTGCACTTTCCACTCCCCCGTCCCAAGTTTTCTCCCTCTCCTCTCCTCTCCTCCCCTCCCCTCCCCTCTTCTTCCCTCCCTTCCCCCATCCCATTTCCCTTCCCTCCTCTCCTCTTCCTCTTTCTCCTCTCTCTCTCTCTTTCTCTCTCTCTCTCTCTCTTTCTTCTTTGTTTTCTTTTCTTTTTTTGATGGCATTTCACTCTTGTTTCCCAGATTGGAGTGCAATGCCACAGATCTGGGTTCTCTGCAAACTCTGCCTCCCAGGTTCAAGCAATTCTCTCCAGCCTCAGCCTCCCAAGTAGCTGGGATTACAGGCACCCGCCAGCACGCTCATAATTCTACTAAAATCCGATAATCTACTAAAAATACAGTTCAGTTGCTTGGTTAAGTATCCCAGGGGTAGGTGCATTGTGGAGATTTTAAGGTAAGTACATTCGGGTACCAAACCTGTCTGGTACAAAAAGGTGTTCTGCTAGGAACAGCTATTTTTCTTTTGATTTTTTTTTTGTTGTTGTTGTTGTTGTTTGTATTTTTAGTAGAGACGAGGTTTTGCCATGTTGGCCAGGCTGGTCTCGAACTGCTGATCTCAGGCGATCCGTTTGCTTAGGCCTCCCAAAGCGCTGGGATTACAGCCGTGATCCACTGCACCCGCCCCCCCCCCCCCCAGTTTTCTTAATTCTTCAAGAACTTTCTTGTGATTACAGGCAAATTACAAACACTGAATATTCTCACAGAACGCTAAAGTATTTCTTTTTTTTTTTTTTTTTTTAAGAAGACCATTCTTGGCTGGGCGCGGTGGCTCAAGCCTATAATCCCAGCACTTTGGGAGGCCAAGGCGGGCATGGATGATCAAAACCATCCTGGCCAACATGGTAAAACCTCATCTCTACTATACAAAAATTAGCTGGGCGTGGTAGTGCAACTGTATTCCCAGCTACTCCGCTCCGGAGGCTTGAGGCAGGAGAATCCCTTGAACCTAGGAGGCAGAGGTTGCAGTGAGCCAAGATCGTGCCACTGTACTCCAGCCTGACAACAGAGTGAAACTCCGTGTCAAAAAGAAAAAAAAGAAACCCCATCTGTACTAAAAATACAAAATTAGCTGGGCGTGGTGGCGCGTGCCTGTAATCCTAGATACTGGGGAGGATGAGGCAGGAGAATCGCTTGAACCCGTGAGGCAGAGGTTGTGGTGTGAGCCGATATCCAACCATTGCATTCTAGCCTGGGCAACAAGAGAGAAACTCCGTCTCAAAAAAAAAAAAAAAAAACAAGAACAAAAACAAAAAAACAACCATTCTTTTTCTTGCCCCACTGTGAAGGACGATATTAAGGCAACACCACCTAGCTTTAGAGCTATGTTCAAGAAGGACAACTTACCTCATTTGCTTATGCAGTGCGTATGCTTCAATCAAAGAATGTACCATACTGGCCTAAAAACATCAGCGAAAAAAAAAAAAAAAAAAACACCAGAAAATCGTCTCTTAAAAGTTTAATTCAGCAAAATCCTCTTTAACCTCATCATCCTGAACAAAGGAAAGGATTAACTTTGTTTCAACTGGTTTCCCTTCTGTTAACAGTTACAATACACTTTAGACAAAACAGATACAAAGTATCAAAATCACTAAGGTGAAAGCTACCGGGTCTTAGGCAAGTGATGGAACACCTTCCCCATGCAGCTTGTTTTTCCACGACTTCAGCGGTCCCCTAGGAGTGGAAACCGCGTCCCCTCCCCTCCTCCGTACCCCTCCCCCACCCTTACCTGTCCGTTGGTCGTCGCGCAAGGATATGCTGCGCTCTCAGAAACGGTATGAGAACACTTCCTTCCGATACAGCTTTAGGTATATGATACAGCTACCCAAAATTTCTAATTTCCCCTAGCCCAGTGTCCTCTCCGCTTCCTAACGCTCTTTCGTCCACCACCCCCACCCCCACCCCAAAAGCCCACGGTCTTTCATCCACACTTCTCTTACCCGTTTGGGGATCTTGGCCAGGGAGTCACACATACTGACATACTCGGGACTATAGATATAAACCGGGACCAGCGACTGCCCACTATCCTCCGGTTCCTCCGGCTCTTCCATCTTCCACTTACAACCGTTCCGCAGCCACCGTCCAGATCTGGCTTTTTTAGGACTCGGCCAGGGATCCAGTTCCTGCTCCTCTGATCGGCCGCAGCGGTGTTCCCTGGTCAACATTCCCTCCTATTCTTCAGATCGCCGGAGACACTATCCCCGCTCCCCATCCAATTGAAGGAATGGATGTGACTTCCCAGGCCAGACTCCCCTCATTTAGTGACCACAGTTCAAGAAAAAGGGTTCGGCAGATATAAAAGTCCAAAGAGCTGTTTAGGATCGATTTATGGCACAAATAAGTAGGGTCAAAACTAACCATCTTTGTTGCTCTACGGGGCCATTTGAGATGAAGCCAGACCAGTTTCACAGCATGCTGGGAGATGTAGTTTCCAGCGGTTTGAGCAACGGAAGAGCCGGGGCGAATCCCTAAAATAACCGCGATTTTGAGTTTTAGCGCTAAGACAAAAAAAAAAAGCCTTAACTCTTTATGAATTGTTTCAATCTGCAAACACATCTATTTAACCATATAACTGGAGCCCCCACCATCCAGCTACATCAGCTACTTATTTGCTACTTATTTTAAGGATAGGCTTTTTTTTTTTTTTTTCCCCCCGTGGGGGCGCTTATTCATAGCACAAATGGTTTGAAAAGTTTACACAGTAAATTCTGTGACGCAATTTTATAGTTCATTTCTTTTCATCATTAACTATCCATGTCCACATGAGAGTTAACAATCTCAATAATTTACTCTCGCAAATCTGATAGCACTTTCCCAAGAGACTGGCTGATGTGGTACATATTAATTGCTTGGTAGATTCCAATCAAGCAGTAATGTCAAATGTAACTCCTTAAACATTCATGGGGTTAGAAGGTTGCAAGCAGTAGTGTTCAGAAACTGCAGCTCTTCTCCCCCATCTCCTTTTGTTTCTGCAGCTAAACATAGATTAAGGAAATATTTTAGGTTTGGTGTGAGAGTTCAGTTTAAGACTATCTGAGGCAGTTTTAGAATTACCATCAGCGTTTGCAGGTTCCTGGAGGCCCCTATGATCTGCTACAAGCTGGCCAGTGCTCGAGACCGCGATTCTCATGACAACCTAAACTGACTTACTAACACCATTGGGACAACCCAATATGCTTACTATATTTAAAATCTAGCTTGCTTTTTAGACTTTAAATATTTATTGAAGATTGTGACATGTACATTGGATATATTATTTCATCCTTGCAACAGTCCTATAAAGGAAGTTGTAATACACCATTTTATACATGCAGTTTAGAGAGAGAAATAATCATTCAAAATCACATACTTAACAAGCAGGAATTCAAAATTAGGTCAGCCAGACACTAAAGGCTTTGAACATTCCCTTTATTATATAAATTTGATTCCTCCAGGATGACTTTGTGTTATAACTTTGTTCACCCTCCATTTTGTATCCCCTCAATACTTATTCTGAAAATCTTGGGTTTTTTTTTTTTTTTTTTTTTTTTTTTTTTTTTTTTTTTTTTTTTTTTTTAGTGATGTGCTCTGTAACTAGAATGTAAGAGCTTATGCTTCTTTTATTTATATATTCCCATAGCAACTAGTTAAAAGCTCTACAGTCATTCATTGGTCAAACATTTATCTGATATTAACTAAGTATACAGCTGATGATTCAAAGATAAATTATAATGTGATCTCTGATGTTAATGAATTTGCATTCTTATACAGAAGATGGGGCAAATTCACAAGAAACCAAAGGCACTGCAGAGCCGGACAATGAATGTGGAATGCTTAGACTACTTAATAAATAAGCATTAAGTACTAAATAATGGTATTTCATAAATGGTAACTAGAATTCTTCTTTGGTGAGATTTGAGAGGGTCTTAGAAGGTAGGCAGGACTTTGCTTGGTGAAGATGGGAGCCAGGAGAAGGTATGTTGACTAGAATGAACAACAGCATAAACAAAAACACAAAAGAGAAAATTTCTAGTCGAGCTTAGTTAAAAGGGCCGGATTATGAAGAACACTGAATACCAGGCTAAAGAGAATAGACTACATTTTGTGGGAAATGGGGAAACATATTTACACAGAAATATTAAGGAAAAAAAAGACTTCTATAGCAGCAGTGTGCAGGAAATATTAGTAATTAAAAGACTAGGGGCAGTTAGAGTACCACAACGATCCAAATAAGAAGTAATAATGATTTTAAACTAGGGTGGGGGCAATGGGAACAAAGAAGGAGAAATAATGTACAAGGTAGGTTCAACAGGACTTCTTTACTCCTTGGATATTAGTGAGAGGGAGGAAGACGGAAGAGTCTTGCTGAAAATTCTTAAGTGTAAACTCTGGGTGAAGAAAGACTAGAGGTAGCAATATATGAAAGAGGACAATTGGAAGGAAGAACTCATACGGTAGGGCAGAATGGACATAGATTCTGATTTTAAAACTGTTGTTTCAGAACTTAATGGGTTAAACAATTGCAGACACACACACACACACACACACACACACACACACACACACACACAAACACACTCCTTTTCCATATAAAAAGGAGAAAGCCGAAGTTATAAGAGTGGCTGAGATAGCCAAGGGAATGTGGCTTTCTCCACTGGGATGCCCAATAGTCATATCCAACAACATTTTCAAAACCAAGCTCCCAATTTCCCCATCCAAGTTCTTTCCACTCCTTCTCTATCTTTCACAGCTCAGTAAAGATGCCAACATCTATCCAGTTGCCTAAGTCAGAAACCTGGGAGTTATTTGTGTTTCTTCCTTTTCCTTCACTTGCAGATCCAATAAATCAGCAATTTCCATCAGTTCCACATCCAAGACACGCCTTAAATACATTCACTGCTCTCCCTCTGCACTGCCACCACCCTAGTCTGGGCACTATTATCTCTCAGTTGGACTTTCTGCAGTATCTACCTGGGGTCTGCTTCCATTCTTGCTGCCCTACAACCCATCCTCTTTGCAGCCACCAGAGTGAGGCTCTAAAAAAAGAAGTAAGTCCCATCATGTCACAAAACATGCCCCATACCCTGATGAGGACCTCTGAGCTAGGAAGAATAGTGTCATTTTTGGAAATGCCTGTGTGTAAAGGTTTAGAGGAGAAAAAGATGTCAGAAAGGAGACAAGAAATGGTCAAAGACCGCTTTTTGCCATTAGAAACTCACTGTTGCCCTATGGAAAGAAACAAAACAGGAAGTAGGGGAGGAAGCCAGATTGTGAGGGGTTAAAAAGTGAGGCCATCACAGTTAAGTATAGCTTCCTCTTTGAAAAAATGTGATTGTGAAAGGAAGGAGTTAGTTAGTCTAACAGCCTGAGGGGATGTGAGAGCCCAGAATTTTTTAAAGATAAAACTGCACATGTTTATAGACAGGGGAAGCTACAGGACTTGACTGAAAGGTGAGATCATGATGACTGGCAATATAAGAAGAAATGGGACTTGTCCCAGGCCTTCTGGGATAGGCAGTGGAAAGAAGAGGACAGGATATAGATTGGCCAGCTGATACCCTCAATTCTGGACTCTACTTGGATGACATGAAAATTTATTGTTTTAGGTGTTCTTTCTGATCTAGTAACAAAAAACTGAATGCTTCTAAACTGGAAATACTATCCAAGTACCCCACACAATGTGGCAAGATGATTCAGCTATGGAGAAAGATAAATTGTTGCACAGTGCTCTGGAATTGGCAACTTATTCCTGCAGCTAATCTCACAGGGAGGCTAGACACTTGCTCATGATTAAGAAAGAGCATAAATCATGCCACAGGTTCCTCACCTCAATTTTCCACATTGGTAATACCCATATGGTTCTTAAATTGGGAAGAAAACCCTTCTCTCTTTCTCTCTTTTTTTTTCGAGATGGAGTCTTGCTGTCACCCAGGATGGAGTGCAGTGGCATGATCTCAGCTCACTGCAACCTCTGCCTCCCGGGTTCAAGCAGTTCTCCTGTCTCAGCCTCCTGAGCAGTTGGGATTACAGGCACCTGCCACCACACCCAGCTAATTTTTGTGTTTTTAGTAGAGATGGGGTTTCACCATGTTGGCCAGGCTGGTTTCGAACTCCTGACCTCGTGATCTGCCCGCCTCAGCTTCCCAACATGCCGGGCTTACAGGCATAAGCTACCACGCCTGCCCAGAAAACCCTTCTCAGTGCACTGTATTTGCAGTTGGAGGACTTGAGGTCAAAGGAAGTAGGTTGAACATAGGCTTCAAAGCTTGCTAGGGTGGTGACCCTGGGCAAGTTACTTGACTCACTTTCCTCAATCATTATTGCTAAAGGTAACATTTAAACCAGTAAGGTCAGGTTGGGCTGTGCCACTTCTTTTGGTGCTTTCCCATGCCATTCCCCAGAAGGGGAAGCAAACAAATTACAAGGGCACCACCCTTCAGGCTGCCTTCTCTGCTCATTTCACAATCTGTCCAGTGACACCTCAACTGACCCTTGTTTTCACACCACCCCCTTAATGACCTTTCCTTGGAGAGTGTAGTTGTTGAGAATGTGAACTCTAGAGTCAGATTGCATGGGTTCAAATTCCAGCTCTATCACTTATTAGATGATTGATTTGGGGCAATTTACTTAAACTCTCAATGCTTCAGTTCTTTTGTAAAATGGAGATGACAATATCTGTCTTACACGGCAATTGTGAAGATAAAATGGCCCATGCTAAGTGCCTATATAACAATGGCATTTGGTATGTGCTCAAATATTGGTTATTTAAGAGCCATTATGCCAAATATTTCTATATGTGGTGGGGAAGGGAGTTTCCCCCTACTGTCATGCTTACCCCCATACCACTACTGCATAAGTACTCCTAGTGGTTTAAGAACAAGTTCTTGGTTGTTGTTGTTTTTTTTGGTTTAGCTGTAAAAGAAATCACACATCTGCTAAACATAGGGTGACCATATCTTTCAAAGTGAGACACTTTTCAGAGTGACAGAGTGCTATTAATAATTATGCCAGGCCGGGCGCGATGGCTCAAGCCTGTAATCCCAGCACTTTGGGAGGCCGAGGCGGGTGGATCACGAGGTCAAGAGATTGAGACCATCCTGGTTAACGTGGTGAAACCCTGTCTCTACTAAAAATACAAAAAATTAGCTGGGCATAGTGGCGCGT